AGAGCCCGCAGGCAAATGCCGGCCGGGCCCTCCAGCCACGCGGGCAGGAGCCCAGCCCGTGCCCTGGCCTGGGTCGTGACGACGGCGGTTCGACCCTCCTTAGCCAGGCTGGTCACCAACGCGGCGCGAGACGCAGCTATGGAGAGGGCCGAGGCAGCGGGACACTCACCTTTATCCTGAGCTTGATCGGCAACATCCACTCGTATCCTTCTGTTCCCTAGGGACTGGAAACAACAGCGAGGCGTCAGCCTCGGGCCTGACGACAGGCAGAGGGGCAAGGGGAGGTGACCCTGGGGCGATGCCCAGGCACAGAGCAGGCAGCTTGTACAACCCAGGAGTCGACTTTTACAAGGGTGTGGAGTGACAGGACACAGGGTGATGGCTTTAAACTGGAAGGGGGGAGATTTTGATGGGATCTAAGGAAGAAATTCTTCCCTCTGAGGGTGCGGAGGCACTGGCACAGGTTGCCCAGAGAAGCTGTGGCTGGCCCATCCCTCGCCGTGGTCCAGGTTCAAGGCCAGGTGGATGAGACTTTGAGCAACCTGGTTTAGTGGAGGGTGTCCCTGCCCATGGCAGGGGGGTTGGAACCAGATGACCTTTAAGGTCCCTTCCCACCCAACCCATTCCATGATTCTATGACTGCCCTAAAAAGCACTTTCTTCCCCATTTTGAGTCTCTCTCGAGCAGCGACACAATTGCTCTACAAGACACTTCTCACTGCATCTCCAGCACCCAGGGCTGCGCAGGAACATGCCCGATCTGACCAGGGGCGTTTGGGGGCCGCACGCACCGATCGTGCCCCGCTGTGGACAGACTCACCTCTTCATTGAGGCTCAGCGCCTGGAACAAGGAGTCAATGTCTTCAAACTCAGCATAGCCAAACCCTTTCAACCTCTCCGGGTTGGTGGGCTCCCGTGGCAAACGCACAGCACTGATCTGCAGTCGGAGAGGAGGAAAGCTTCGTTAAAACCGTTCCTGCTCCCTCATGGTAACACGACAGTCAAGGATGGAGTTATCCATGACGACACAATTCATTGGTGTCAATGGACTGACTAAATCCTCCCGGCGAGGAGCAGGGAAGCGGGGGCTTTCAGCTCCCCCTTCAAACACACAAGAGGTTCCCACTAAGTGCCACAGATGCTTGTTCGGAGGGAGGAATTTGGCACTGGCAAGTAGTTTTGAGCTGCAGATCTCCAGCAGCTGCAGCAGGAGCTGATCCGAAGAGCCAGGAGAGCTCTGCACGGTGGGCGACAGCCGCTCTGCACTCCACGGCTGTGGG